GAGTTCCTCTTTGGCCATTGGTCACCTCAAAGTTGTTCTAAAGGGTGACCTTGGTGTGCTTTCGAACTTGAAAGTTTAGCTCTTCTAGTAGTAAGAGGGCATAGGAACTGTAATCTAAGTTTAAAATTTCTATTTATTTGTGCATGTGTAGCATGTGAGTACATGTATGCACACTGGGTGTCTTCGTCTGCTCTCTTCTTTTGCTTGCTTTTTCCGTATACCTATGTTTGTATGTATACCATTTTATGTGTTTGTGTGCACACTTGTATGTGTGGCCATCACAATGCTGTGGCATTTGAAAGTTGGGGGACAGGTTTGTGGAATGCTCTCCATTTACCTGTGGATGCTGGAGCTTGACTCAGGGTACTAGAGTCTGGCGGCAGGTGTCTTCACTGGCTGGGCCATCTCTCCAGTCCTCCACCTTACTGTTTCTTGAGACAACATCTCTCACTCAATTTGGAAAACACCACTTTAGTCAGGCCAGCTGGGCAGTGAGCCCCAGGGACATGCCTGTCTCTGCCATGTTGCTGGGATTATAGACATGTGTGTGGTTGTGCTGGCTTTCATGTGTGGTCAAGGGAATGAACTCACCTCCTTCTGAGTGCATAACAAGCACTTTAGTTGCTGAGCCTCGTCCACAGCATGTTTTGTTTTTACTGAGACCAAGTCTCAAGCTGTAGTCCAGGTTGGCCTTGAACTTCTGGCCACACTCTTGCCTCCCTTTCCCCAGGGATGGAATTAAAGGCCAGCATGCCTGGCTGAAATTAAGATTGGGTTGAAGTTCTCTTATCTTTGGTTTAGGGGCTGGGGAGGGTAGAGCAGAAGACCTTAGGTCCTGTGCTAATGCCTGTCCTAGCTGTGCTAGGTCCTGAAGGCTAATTAGCCAAGTAGAGGACAGCTAGTATCTAGTCATGGGGCCGTGGGTGACTTTTGCACACGTGTGGAAAAGCCCTGCTGGCTGCTGTAGCATGCTGGCCACGGTGGGACGGGATTGGGTCTTCTGCTCAGGGTAGGCCCAGGTGAGCTCTGCTTATCTTTAGTGTGTCAGTGGAGACACGAGGCCAGGACACAGTGTAGAAAGGCCAGTTTTCCTTTTTTGTCTCTACCAGACCTGGATGACACCTCCTGTCAGGTTTGCAGGGGGTCCAGATCTTGTGATAATTCTTCAGGCTGAAGATGTCCTTCCTCCACTCAACTGAGGTGACCTTAAAAGACTCTCAATTTAGCATCAGCCCCACTCCCTGACACTCCAAATGTAACGGCGACTTCTCGCATTAACACTGAAAGATCACCGTTTTGTGGTGTCCATGGTGTTAGTGTTAAAACATCACTCGATACTGAAAGGCCAATTCCCTATTTAGTTCAGGAGGAAAAAGAAAATCTGGACAACCTTTCGCAGGCCTGCTTACTCTATTCTGTCAGCTGCTAATGGGAGCCAGAGCCACTGGGCAGCAGAAGGCCTGGGGCAAAGGCCTGGCTACCCAGAAGCAGTAACTTCTGGGTAAGCAGGAACCGGTGGGGAAGGAGCTCCGTCTTTATCCACCCCTCATGTCCATCAGGTGTCAGTGTGGGAGACCCTCCTCTAGGTGTCCACTAGGTTCCTCATCTGTAAAGTGGGAGTTCTACACCTGCCCGGGATGGAGCTTGTTGGCATATATGAAACACTTGGTAGAGAGGGGACGAGGGACGAGACAGTAAGAATACAGTCCCACAAAATACAGTAAGAATACAGTCTCAGCCTTGGAGGTCTGGGCAGATGCCACCCTTAGAGAGGGCAAAGGGGATGGGGTCTCATGTGAGGGGTCTCATGTTGCCCAGGCTAGCCTTGAACTTGCAGTGTAGCTGAGGATGATCTTGAACTTCTGATCCTCTCTCCTGCCTTTATCTCCTAAGTGCTGGGATTATAGGAGGGCACCACCACACCACCTGGGTTTCTGAGGTGCTGGGGCTTAGTGGATGTTAGGCAAGCTCTCCATCAACGGAGCCACATCCACAGCCTCAAGTCACATGACAGTCATTGTGGCACTCTAAGTCACATGACAGTCACTGTGGCACTCTAAGTCACATGACAGTCACTGTGAGACTCTCCATCTGGGGAGGGTCCTCCCGGAAGCAGTCTGTTTCTGGTTTCCCTTACAATCTACCCTTTGGGAACGGACCTCTCTCCAGTTTGAGGTTTTACATCAACTTGAGGTCAATGTCTCCTTTTAACAGCTGACACCCAAGCCAGGCCACTTCACTCTGATCTCTAAGCACCAAGCATTTGGGATCTCCCCCACTCTGGACTTTACCAAATGCATGATCACTCAAATGTGCCTTCCTAGGACGGAGGTGGAACAGCGCACAGGCACAACTCCGGTGTCTCTCTTCCTTCTCCCTTAATTAGGGAGTATTGAAAAACAGAAATTCAGATTTGAGATGGATGAGCAGGGTCATGAGTCCTGCCCCCAAGTCTGACAACTGAGAGAAGTGATACCTACAAGATGTCTTCTGACCTCATCTGTGGAGCAGCACACATGTGTCCACATACATATGCACACATGCACATACAATAAACAAACAAGTGTCAAGAAGGGAGACAAAGCAAATCAGACTAGTGGGCACAGCTGGGAGTCTGCTGTCCAGCTGCCATGACGGCGCCTCACAGCCGACCTGCCTGCCTAGCCAGCCTGTCTTCTTTCATGATGACCAACTTGCACTTTTAACTGGTACAGAGAAGTCACCCACTGTCTCATAACTAGCAGAAAGCTGGAGCACATGCCATCCCTTCATCACCTGTGGCCCGCTGACCTTGTTCCTCGGTCACTCTCAGCCTGTGCTATTGCATAAGGAATGCTTTGCTTTAGTGGCCTAGGCAAACTTGGATGGAGTCATCATCCCTGGAAGCAGAAAACAACCCTTTGTCTTAAAGATGCCTTTCTGAAGACGACAGAGGACACAAGAACACGACCCTTGTTCTGAGTGGGAGCAACAGCCTACCCAAGGCTGCAGGAGGGGTCTGCATGCACCTCACTGTTGGAAGCAGGCTGGAACAGGTTGGAGAGCTAAAGAACAAATGGGGATGGGGACCAGAAATGCAAATGGTTTAAAACCAGACAGCTTTCTCACCATGTGCCCCACCCTCACTGAAATCTTGTTAGTCCTCTGGGACAGTTCCACATTTGCACATCTCTGAAGGTGCTGGCTGCCAGCTGGCACTCACGAGGCGATCGTCACTCTGCACATGCCCTGACTTGGTTACAGCCAGCGAGCTGCCATCATACCATGTGAGCAATGCTTACCTAGCACCGTACCAGGTCTGCTTGTCATTACGTGTCTTTGGAAAGATCTGCAGTCTTGAGGCAGACTCTCATTGCTAACCCAGTGCTGTGCATTTCCTATAAAGCAATAAATGAGGCTTTGAGGACTGAGGAGAGGAGGGCTAGAGGAAGTCTATGACGCTGTGACACAGCCTGTAATGGGGGCGGTGTCTCTGGAAGGGATCTGCTACTATAGGCTGAGCAGTCAGACTTACGACAGACAAAACCGGTATCTTTGATCTTAGTGAACTATGGCACAGAATGCCAATGACCCTGCTGGCGTGTGCTGACTGACAAGCAGGCCTCTTGCACTTCCCAAATGTGTAGTAAAGGAAGCAGTGTTTCTCAGAGTCAGGTTCTCTGGGGCCCATGTCACTGTCCCAGCAGTGGCTACAGAGTGGAACAGTGCTCATCCTGGGGGCACAGAGGTAGCAGGGGTGGACCTGAAGGCCTGCATTTCCACAAGCTCCCACTTGGCACTGCCGCTGAGTTAGGCCCCAGTGTTGAACAGCACTGTGGTACATATCCCTCACTCAATGGTGACTCCGAGGCAAGAGTACTGGCATGCTCTTCCAGAGGACCCAGTTCACTGCTCAGTGACCACAACTCTGAAATTCTAGTCCCAAGCTGCATGTGGTACACAAACATTTAGTTAAATCACTCATATACATAAGCAAACAAAAATGTAAAAACCAAAAGAAGACAAAAAAAAAAAACCCTTCCTGCCTTGGTTCTTCCCAATGTGATGGACAGGTGGTAAAGGGCTGGGTGGTCCAGGACCAGTTGGGAATTAGCCACGCTACTACTGTCTGTAATCAGTCTTCGTTTTTTGTGCATCCCTGGAATTCCAGTACTTGGACAAAACTGCTTAAGTGTAAAGCCTGCCTGGGCTACTGAGCAAGACAACTGCCTCAAAATAAAAAACAAGCCCCAAAAATAACAAGCAGGAAAGGAGAGACAGGGAGTAACTAGAGGAAAAGTAAGGGGAGAAAGAGGGAGGGAAAGAGGGAGGGAGGGAGCAGACTTCTTCTAGGCTGGTCAGGGCCAGCCCTTCACAGGGAGTGAGTGCCTTTCACTGAAGTGGGGGTGGCTTTATTAGGAAGGCTGGAGAAGGTTCACAGAGATCCATGTGGATGCAGAGGGCCAAGCAGCCTGCATTACTGACTACACCAGCAGGTGCTGTAGCTCCTGCTGGGGGAAGGGGACCTCTCTAGGTACCTGTGGGGCCTAGTCAATAGAGCCATCTACAATTCTCTCCTCAGGAGTTCTCTGTTTGCCAGCAGTGATGACCAGGACACAGCACTGCCAGCCCTGCTCGCCCCACCCCCAGGAAGAAACAGTAAAGGCAGGCAGCCCTGGAAAGAACTTTTCTAAAGGACCCTGGATGTCTTCCAGGGACAAAGCCTGCTTAAACTCTGTCCTTGGGCCACTGGGCCTTCCAAAAGGGCAACTGAGGGGGAAAAAAAAAGAGCCCCCCTCCACCTTTGAGATTGGTCCAGTGACCCAGGCGGGCTTCTAACTCTCAGCAGCTGAAGATGACCTTGATCCTGATCCCATCTTCACCTCCTGGCCAGGATTCCAGGCCTGTGCCACCACCTGGAGCTGGAGATACAGGGCTTATGCTCCCAGCATGCCCAGCCCAAGGACTCTGTTTCAAACACAAACTCTTCTGGTTAAACTGAGAGAATGCCAGACATCCTGTAAGAAGCAGTCCTGGAGCTTTGTCCAGGTATAAAAGGTTTATTGTTTACAAAAATAAGTTACAAAAACCAACCAAGCATAACCAACAGCTCATGGAAGCAACATTCCCAGGGCCCAGCACACAGAGAAGGGGCAGACCATCTTCCCATGATGCACTGATGTGGATGACAGTTTTGTCAGGGAGAACAGCAACAGACAGACACCTAAGTGGTGAGTGGGTCAGGCTGGTCTGGGGTCACTGGCGGCAGGTGTCATGGAAAGCTTCCAGGGTCCGGAAGTCTCTCCATGTTGGGGGAAGGCCGTCTTGTAGAAACTTCCCACAGCGCTGACACGGGGCCTGGAACAGCTTAATGTAGCTTCTCAACCAGGTCTGAAAAGAGGTAAGACAGAAAGGAGAGAAAGAGATCAGGGAGCCCCCTCAGTTGCCCTTTTGGAAGGCCTAGTGACCCAAGGAGATAGTTTAAGCAGGCTTTGACCCTGGAAGACACCCAGGGTCCTTTAGAAAAGCCGTCTCCCTGTAACTCAGTTCTGATGTCTCCTGCTCCTCCCAAGATCTTACCACAGAAATCCCTGCTGTCCAGAGCTGGAGTGCCCCAAGACTATCCGTCTGGCACCACTGCCGGCCTCCCTGTCTCAGCCGCTCCAACCCTCTCTCCCATTCTGAGCAGAGGCACAGGCAGATCTCAGAAGATGCGAGACTCTGTACCAGGGCAACATGTTCTGAGCTAATCTCATTTCAGAGGTTGTCTCTCTGTCATGGTGGGGCCTAACACAGCTGGGGTGGCCCCAGAGTCACCAAGTAACATAAAAAGTGACAGTCGCCCGCCCTTGAGGTTGAGAGCTCAGGGCTCCCAGATGTCGTGAATAAGGATGAGGCTCAGGCAACTCAATTCTCCACCTCAAGGAGACTCAGGGGCCTAAAGGCCCAGCAAGCAGACCCCAGCAGCCACAGGCAGGTAGTCCTGAGAGCCAGGCAAGTCACATACCTCACTTCCCAAGGTGTCAACGAGGGGACAATAACCTCTGAAGAGGTTACTGATACAAGTAGTTCCTGTGGGGCAGATCTGGCCCACCCACAAGCTGGTGTGGGGTTTTGAAAAAAAAAAAAAAAAAAAAACCAAACCAGCAGGGTGATGGGTGGTCTGCTCCACTGCACGTCAGGTAGACGTGTAGCAAGTGGACCACCGAAGGATGTCACGTGCTCACTCCTCAGCATGGGGAAGGACTCTCTGCACCTTTACGCTGAGCACCCAGTGGCATCACCCCAACACCAGGCAGTCAGTTCTCAAGCCAGGCTTATGTCTTGTGAGGAGTAGCCTTTCTCACTAAGAAGCTGTGACAATGAGCTGCCAGTCAACACTCCTTGTGGTGACTACTGCTCAGACCAGCAGGCAGGAACCCTGACAGCCATGGTAGTGATGCTAAGGTGGACTGGCTGCAGGGTCGGTGGAGGCTGCAGCTGGCTATGTGACCAGCCCTGGGGAGAAGCCCTGATGTCTCTGAGTAACCCACTCCCTCTGCCCCCTGCCCCCCCGCTTGTTTTGATCTGTGTTCTTGCTGAAGTTTTCTGAGCTTGCTCTTGCCCTGAGATTTAAGGATGACAGGGCAGGGCAACTACAGATTCATCCTGTCGCTCCTCCATGCTCAAGTCCAGGGCTTGGTGGGTTAGTGGCACAGTGCTGAAAACTTCTGTGGCACTGCTTGCCCAGCTTTGACTGAAGTCTCAGGGATTACCTGGGGTGGGCTCCCCAGATCTCTCGCTAGCTGGAAGGTCTGACCTGAAGCCACTTACCATGAAGGACCTGACCACGACGTCTGGCATCTGGGGTAACTGATAGTGAAGCAGAGCAGTGGTGGCGTGGTCTGTCACCTAGGATGGAGGACAGTTACCGTTAGCCAGAAGCTGGTAGCTTCATAAGCGACAGCCCTGCTGGGATCCCCCTGCACTCCTCTACCCCACACCTAAAGTAAAATCTCAAATAAGAAAATTAGCGGAGTTGGGACAGGGAGGAGGCATTGCAGGTAAGAGGGTACAGGCCTGGAAACAAGAAGAGTATGGAACATTCTGGCAACTAAACATCTGCACAGGAAGAAGCATGGGAGAGGGACAGGGTGACACTTTGACAGACAGCAAGGGTGCAATGATTTCACCCTGTCTCCATGCTCCTCACTTAGGCTCTGCCCTGACAGCTCTTCTGCAGGCCTGCCCCTTGTTCTGGTCCTCCCCCCACCAGCCTTCCTGGCCGTCCTAGCTCTTCTAGGGACCCACTCAGGTCTCCTGACTTCTCAGAAAGGTGGCAGCAAGGCCAGGGCCCAGATGGCCTAAGGTGCACAGGAGGCGCCAGGGACACAGGCACTATCTCCTGGCCTTGATCTCATCACTCCCTTGGGCCTCAATAGCTCATTTTCAAAACAAAGGGGCTAGTCAAAGACCCGCCCCCAAGGTCTGGCCATCCCAAACTAGTTAGGAGTTGACTAGTGAAAGGTTTATTGAAATTAATGGTTTATCTGATTGTCCTTAGAGACTCTTAAAAAATTTAAAAACATTTTCTTTTTTACTTGGTGTGTGCTCTTGTATGTGGTGTGTGTGTGTGTGTGTGTGTGTGTGTGTGTGTGTGTGTGTGTAAGAGCATGTACCACAGAGTAGGGGCAGGGAACAACTTGCAGGTGTCAGGTCTCTGCTCCCACCACTGTGGGTCCTGGAGATCAAACTCAGGTCAGGATTGGCAGCAGGTGCCTTTACCTGCTGAGCCATCTCACAGGCAGTGGAAAAAAATTTTTTTTTTCTTTTCCCGAGACAGGGTTTCTCTGTGTAGCCCTGGCTGTCCTGGAACTCACTCTGTAGACCAGGCTGGCCTCGAACTCAGAAATCCGCCTGCCTCTGCCTCCCAAGTGCTGGGATTAAAGGTGTGCACCACCACTGCCCGGCTGGAAATTCTTGTCATTACAAAAACATTTGAAAACAAAAGAGAACAAGGCAGATGAAGTCATTAGCTCTGAGAACAAGAATCAACACAAGCCCAACACGTGTGGACTTGCTGGTCCCCAGGCTCAGAGTGGGATACTGTGACACACTAGTGGCCGGCAGGCCCACAGCGGCAGCGAGGCAATTGGGAGGGCCAATCTAGGCCAGGGGCCAGTGAGGATCATCCTGAAGTTGTACCACACCACTAAGGCAACTGGCCCAGGATCCCCAGTGTCCAGAGGCAAATTTAGGCCCAGATGGACTTTAACTTGCTAGAGGAGGTTGTGGCTCCATGCTTCAAGGGAGGGGAGAGGACAGGCTGACCAAGTTCTTCTTTCCCAGAGAGCTCAGTGCAGCATCCTCCCTGTCCTCCTCCTCCATCACCCACCACTGCCCACCTTCCTGCTCAGTGTGCTCCCTGCCCTTGTTCTCTCCCTACAACCTTCCTACGTGATCTTGGTTTATGCTGTGTCCCCAGGCCTAGAACTACAAGGCATCCATATAGTAGGTACCCAATGCATACGGTAATTAAAGAGAACCGTGGGAATGCCCACTCCTGGGGACAGCACTGCTCTCCCACAGAGACATCCCTGTGCCTGCGCTGCACAAGCTTGAGCAAGTTTTTCCCTGGGTGACTTTCAAGATAAACGTACTTTCCCCCGTGCCAGGCCTGCTTTTATTTTAAGCTCCCTGACAGACAGCTTTCTAAAATGAGCAGTAGTAACCGTGACATGGCTGTGGTGATGCTGGGGAGACAAATGGGCTGTCTTTTTACTTAAAATGCCTACCAAAGTGCTGCTATTCCCCAGTTCCAGGCAGGGCTACTTTCCTGAGATGGGTGCTGTCCACAACACTGACTCTCCAAGGTCCTCTGGAGAGGTCAGAGCCATCTATTCAACTGCTGGAGTCAGCCTGCCTCAGTCCAGTGACCCAGAGGGGATATCCAAAGCAGGGTTGCTTGTTTGGATGCAGTTTTTGTGTTTCTTCCTTCTCAGTTAATACAAATGACCACCACATGAAATTCTCAAAGCTGTAGACGCTACGGACATCCTCACAGGTGACCATGTGAGAGGGTCTGTGTCCCACTTCTAGTCTCCACAAGCATGTGAGTCTCTGTCTGGTGGCTGTCATCAATGGGAGAAGAAAAAGGTTCTCTAAATGGGCATGCCCCTGTAGTGCTCCATGGTTTCACACTACCTGCTTGGCCCCTGTAGCTTCCGAAATTTGGGACCTTTAGACAAATCTGACAGGACTGTCTCCGCAAATGACCCAAAGCCTTGAGCCCAGGCCCTTTATCCCTACTCCTGGCCTGGCTTCCTGAGCTCCTGTTTGGGCTCCTGCTTCCTGGCTGGACAGACTGTGGTCCAGGTGAGGGTCTGAAAGCTGGTCTTGCAAGTGAGGTACAGGGAAGGCCTGTCCATGTAGCTGAGGTGTACAGGCTAGCCAAGAGGACCAACCGAGTTAATGAGAAATGATTTTCTGCAGATATGGAGGAGCCAGGCACTCTCTGACTTGGCATCTGATTCACAGGCAGGGCACCTAATTAGACTGGCCATTCTTGGCCTACCATCTGGCTAAAGCTAGCCTTCTTTTCAAAGAGTCCCATTAAAAGTACTCCCTTTAACTGTCAAACAGTGGCAGGTTTTGCTCTGGCAACTGATGTGGTTGGTCATTTAGTCTCTCAAAATCCTACCACCGATCTCAGCAACATTTTAATAGAAGGAAACACAACCAGCTGACTTCTGAATCTCCCCAACTTCTTCACCAGCTCCACTCCCGGTTTTCTGATTCCCATGGCTGAACCCCCAGTACCAAGCAAAGCTCCAGCCATGCCCTCTCCCTAGTCCCCAGAGCTTTACTCCACTTTCAATGAGAGAGAGAGAGAGAGAGAGAGAGAGAGAGAGAGAGAGAGAGAGAG